TAGGGGATATTATAGAATGATTTGTGTTGGAATAATTCATATGTCTTTGCCCTCCAATATAACATAAACTCTTGATGGTTAGGAACTAAATATAATAATCTTTGAAACTTGCCCATAGTGCTCAGCACAAATGCACATGAAAATCTCACTTGGTAAATGGTTACTGAATTAGAAAAATACTAGAAAGGATGTTTTCATTGGATTACAAGTCTACACACTACACACTACACATATATTTTTCTTTTACCATAAAATACCATACTACACAAGAACAAAATGAAGTATTACAGCAGAACACACTGTAGTTCATTTTATGTAGTCTCAAGTTAATATTTTTTCTGTGAGATTTTTAAGATATGATATGCTAACAATAAGGTAAAATACCCAGCACTACTCTGAATTTCTTATTTAATAAAAATATTAACTACACCCTAACATCAAAGAAAAAATTCTAACGTAAATATGTGTGTTTTTCCCCTGCTTACATTATTTTCTTAAAACAAAGGGCCTCAAATTTACTATATTTCACCTTGTGGATATTTTTTTTTAACTTTAGCTGTTCCCATACAATTTAATCTTTTAATTAATTTATATTTTAAAGTTAATGACATGGCAATTATAGTATTGTTTACAGCATCTCTCTCAATTTTATATTAACAAAAAAGACCTAGACATTGTATCTATCCAAATTACTAAACTAATATTTGAAGACCTGATGTTTTGACACACTACAGGATCAACATTCTTTTTATGTTGCTTCTACCTTGACTTTAGACAATAAAAATTACAGATATAAATGGAGTAACTTACTCTTCTATCAGAATAAAATACTTAAGACTTTCTCAAGTTTCGAAAGATGCTGACTATTAAATATTATAATTCTTTTTGTCTCAAAGGACTTAATGCAAGTTAAGTCTCTCATCATTTTAAAAAGCAAATAGTATTTGTGAATACTATTATTTCCACTGTAAATGAAAGCTTAGACTAATTTTAGTGTCATATATTCTATAGAATAAAAATGTAATCATTCTTACCTGAATTCAAACCAATGATCTGAGAGACTATGAAATAATTGTGAACAATATAGTATTGAAAAATGAGACATGAATGCTTTTCTGAATATTGGTATGATTTAAACAGACAAGTGCAGATAAATCTACATGAATATTGCTTTGAGTAGCTTATAATTTTTAAACTGTCACATGTCAACATTAAAAAAATAAAAAAGTAGTACATTTCTGTTAAGTGCAATTGCTTCTAGCTCACATACCATGATGACATTTTAAAAGTGAGCTTTTAAAAACAAATTATTTTTACTCATATAATCATTAACTCTTCTCTGAATGAAGAGAACCTAGCATATAGAAAGAATTCAACAAATATTTTAGAATGAATACACATATGAACATTGTTTATATGTGTGTATATAAATATAAACTTATATGTATATAATCAATAACACAAATAGACAAATGGTTATGGTAATTATTTTTATAATCATGTTTTGAAATTAGTAATCATGTCAAACCCATGGAATCTCCTTATAGTCAAAGGTCATGATAATTATATTTCAGTTAATCTTTTTTAAGTTTTTACATGAGGACATTATCTTCTAGAGTGCCAGTGGTTCTCTACCTTCCTAATGCCACGACCCTTTAATACAGTTCTTCATGTTGTGGTGACCCCCAACCATAAAATTATTTTCGTTGCTACTTCATAACTGTAATTTTGCTGTTATGAATCGTAATGTAAATATCTGATATGCAGGATGTATTTTCATTGTTCGCGACCCACAGGTTGAGAACCGCTGTAACATATTAAGAGTGTTTATCTTAATATTGAGAAAAATGTTGTAACTATTTTTTTCTGGTTTGTCACTCCAAACCAGAATGTGACAATCAATTATTTGGCCAGGTAAAAGTAGTATATTATACCATAATGGGCTCTGATTTATTTAAACAAACAAACATTGTGAATTTAGGTGAATTGTAGGTAGGGGTGAGGATAGAAATCCAGTTTAATCAAGCTGTTTTTGTTACTCTGAAGTAAATAATAGTTTAAGTTTCACATATTGTACCATGATTTGTAATTAAGTGTGATTCCTAGAAATTAACTTTAGCTTTTATAAATCTT